AAGTGGCTTCAATAATCTCTTACACATTCAGTCACTCTTGCTGGTCTCTTAACTGCTCCCACATTAGCAGAAACCAAGTGTTCCTGTCTCAATTTCCTCACATTTACTCTCAACACACTTTATGGTCAATAACAGAATTTATCACAAGGCTTTATCAGCTGGTGAGGCAAAAGGCAAACTACAATCGGTGGTGGTTAAAGGAGTTTGAGTAAAGAATGAGACAAACAGACAGACTGGATTAATATAAAATAACTGAATAAGTGCCTAGTGTCTTGTGGCATTTTAAGGCACAAAAAAAAAACACCCACAACCCCAAATATTAATTGCATAAAGGCAGCAGAAGTGCTTTTTATTGTTTAAAGGGATACTATGGTAATATGGTGGCATAGCGCCTTTTTGAGTCCTGGAACCCCCAAAGGCACTTTACAACACAATCAGTCATTCACCCATTCACACGCTGGTGGGATGAGCTACGATGGAGCCACAGCTGCCCTGGGGGCGCACTGACAAGAGGTGAGTCTGCCGAGCACTGGGCGCCACTGGTCCCTCTGACTCACTAGGGCGAGTACACCACTATCTGTATCTGTACTCGGAGTGGGCGTGGCCTAACCCGGAAGTGCGTGTGATTCACGTCAATACATTATTTTAAGTCTGAAATTGATATGGATTGATCAGAAGTTGCTATGTGTATTGTTTATTTGAAAACTATTTACAGAGCAGCCTCAACGTTGAGATGAAATATGGAACTATTACGCCGGGGACACACTGGCCGCGGAAGCGCCGCGAAAATGGGACCGCCTTCATTCGGCGCCCTTGTTAAGCTATTCTATAGACCACATGGGCCGCCTCGCGCCGCGAATCGCCTCGCGCCGGCACTTCAGCCCGCGCCGTGCAGCGATCATTTCGGCGTCGGCTCTATTTTTTTCGCGAGCCGCGGGTGAATCGCGTCAATTCTGGCAGGAAGTCAAACCTAGACCTAAGAGGCAGGCCGGTAAAGTTAACAAAATAAAGCATTTCAAAATAAAATCCCGCAATAGTCAAACGTGTTCGTAATCAGACACTGCAGAAAAACCACACGAACACACACACACATCGAACTTGTGTGCGTGTGTGACCACGTGAAGGGGGGTGTGGTTTTGGGTGTCTTTTCACCGGAGCAAACAGGAGAGAGAGGCTGAAAGTCTGAGGCAAGCAGTTAAGATGGATGACTTTAAATTAATTATGGAAGTTGAGAAACACAAGGAGATGTACGACCCCCGAAAAACACGATTATTTACGTACCCATAGGATACAGCTGCAGAATTGGAGCGGGTTCCAAGAGATTCAACTGGCAGAAACAACTCATACCATAGGTCCACACACACACACACACACACACACGCACGCACGCACGCACACACACACTCAAACGTAGAGGAAAAGAGCTGAGAAAAGGCAGAGAGGAAGAAAAACTACAGCTGAGCCGAGGCGCGCCTCGACTGGGGCGCGTCTGATCTGAACTGAGGAGCGGCGAGCAGCGGCCGAATTTCGTGAGCGATTGGCTTCTCGGTGCTTCGCGGCGCTTCGCGGCCGGTGTGTCCCCGGCGTTACAGAACAAGTTTTTCAATAAATTCAGATCATTACTATTTAGGTGCATGTATTAATACATCTGAACTCATGCAGTAGGAACTATGAAATACTAGAACCAGACACAACTTTTTTTATTTTAATTTGATTAATTCCCAGTTTGCCACTAACAGTCCCAGTCCACAGCAGACAAAAATGCGGAGCCAGCCGACAGAGAAAGGTACGCTAATATAAAAAGAGAAGTTGCCAACAAACTACAAAACTTTAGCTTGTTTCCCGCTGCACTGGAGCTGCCCGCGGTAGGTGTTGTGCAGGGAAAAGTCAGCCTACCAGCCGAGATGCTGCACACCCGCTCTGTCACAGGATCGCACATCGATCAATACAGCTGCATATTGAGGGGGTAAACAACTTGGAGCTACATCGTTTACCGTCAGGGAACCAGACACGAAAACATTTACATTTAAGTGTTCAAGGTTTGAACTCACCAGCAAAGGACAGAGACGATGAGCTGCTTTGTTCTAGAAGACTCGGAGGAGCCGGAGGCAGACAAACCCCCAGATACTTCAAGTCAACTGGCACCTCGGGGTCCAAAGAGCTCAGCTTCATGCCCACTAGACGGACACAACAGGTCAAACACCTTTACCGTTTCACCTCGTGCATGACCGGGTGTTTGTGGGAACTCACCCTCGTGCAGGACAGGATGGATGATCTGTCCGTGTCTGAAAGAGCTCAGATCAGTCAGCAGCAGAGACTCCAGCTGAGATATTTTCTCCACCTCCGTCTCTGGATTTACTTCCACTGAGACACCACAGAAATGTCCACACACACAACCAGAGTTTCATCAGATTGAAGACAGAAATCAGGAAAAATATAGGAAATATGCTGGTTACAGAGTACTGGGTGATATAAACTCTATACAGCAGAGATTTGGACTACCGGCCTACCGCTATAGCAAATGTTGATGAATGTTGTCGAGCCGTATCTACTTTGGACCAATGCATGACGGCGGCTGGAGGAGGAAGTGCTTCTAAAGACAGGGCAACAAATGTTTTATGAACCTGATTTGGGTTTAAAGAGTCCAAGGTTGAGCAGGAAAACATCCTCTGTAAAATATTCTGAGCGACAGGAAAGTCTTATCTTTTTAACTCACAACTAACACACAGATTTCCAAACGTTTTGCCTCCTGTCACACCTTCAGCTGTTTCTACCGCCTCGTTAAAAAGGGTTCGTCTTTAAAGCTCTCCAATCTCCCACCCTCAACTCCGTGCTGGCTGTTCGCGCAGCTATCCGAGCGCCGCTCAACGTGCGCGCAAGCACGTAGTGACAGTGGAGAGGAAAAGCCCCCTTTAACAGGAAGAAAGCTCCAGCAGAAGTTGCCTCAGTGTGAGCAGCCAGTTAATATCAGGAGAGGGAGAAGGTTCAGTGGTTGGCAGCGACGTGCCAGACGAGCGCCCCCTCCAGGAAGGTATCGCAGCTCATTTTTACAATTTTTTTTTAATTCAGTTCAAACGATCTTGAATTTTGTGTTTTCAGGTCATTTAGCATTTACTTTATTTAAAATAACTTCTTCAGAAATTTTGTGTGGAATTGTCTGAAAATAAGGTTCACAACCCCATTTAAGATTACTCGAAAAGTTTCGGGGACCATATCGTCCAACGCCATTGCAATTACCCGTTTCGTTTGATTCCGTCGGCCTTGGTGAAGGAAGTGGAGATTCAAACAAGGAGACGCTTGCTGGCATGTCTCTGACATGGACCTCCAGAGCTTCCTGTTGGAAAACAAAGAACTGTTTTATAAGAATATCCTAAACACAAAGTTTCCATAGAATATAATTGAAAACCATTTCTAATCATGAGATTTTATTGTCTTCTGTTTAAATTAGCACAGCGCACTCACATAACAATACAACAGCTAACTTTGAAAATATCTGAATGCTTCTCGGAACATTTGTTAAATTTAACATCAATGGAGTTTTGTTTTTTAGTAAGAATGGATGCTGAAAACATAACTTGCTGTTCTGAATGTAATTATTTGTAATTATTTGTACTTTTGTTTGTTATCAATATAGTTTGGACAACAAACACAGTTGTTTTCATTAAATACTGCTTTATTCTATAAATTGGGTAAAAAAAAAACGGTAAAAAATTTGCAGTTTGTTTTTTCCTTAGTAAAAAAAATTGTGGCAGGCTATCGTACACAATAAATTCCCTTTAACCCTCCCACTGTCCCAATGGGTGTGACCCGGTGAGGAAAGTTGACCATTGAGCAGGGTTGATGGTTTATCCCTTGGGTCCATGTGGCAGGGGTGAGGAGTGAGCACCACCTCACCCCTGCCAAGTGGACCTCAAGGGATAAACCAACATGGCCCACCCATTCACCCATTCACACACTGGTGGGGATGAGCTACGATGTAGCCACAGCTGCCCTGGGGCGCACTGACAGAGGCGAGGCTGCCGAGGACTGGCACCACCAGTCCCTCCGACCACCACCAGCAGGCAACGTGGGTTAAGTGTCTTGCCCAAGGACACAACGACAGCGACAGACTGAGCGGGGCTCGAACCTGCAACCTTGCGATTATGGGGCGAGCACTTAACTCCTGTGCCACCGTCGCCCCGCATCAATCCTGCTCAATGGTGAATTTTCCTCGCAGGGTCACCCATAAAGACAGTGGGAGGGTTAACAAGGCAGCTGCCCTGATGCATCATGGGCCTTGTAGTTTAATCACCGTGCAAAAATCTTTTGACCAAGCCACAACACATGGAACAAATGAATACTGCCAGAACGTTTCTTTAAAGAAAAGCAGAAGCAATTATTAATCAAATGTACAAATTGAAGCCATGTCAATAACAGGGTATCTGCAGGTTTAAGGGAGCCAAATTTAAGACTTTTTAAGACCTTTTTTAAGGCCACTTTGACCAAATTGAAGCTATTTCTATAATTAAATTCAAGCTTAATTTTCCAGCTATTGCCTGGAACCGGTGCTAACCACGTCGCGAACGTGGGATTAGCCATCCAGTTACCATTAAACTTGCACTTCCCCATGGCACAAGCTCCCACTAGCTTAACCAGCTAATGTGCTCATCTAAAAATAGCCCCCTTTCACAACCAACTGAATGTGAACGGTTCCGCTTACGCCAACCATCATACACACAAAAAATGCTGAATACTAACTCGAAATTCATGAAAATTTTATAGAAATAAAATAATCTTGTTTATTGGGTCTTTGAAAATTTAAGACCTTTGGAAACTGTATTTAAGGATTATTTGTCATTTTTAAGGATTTTTAAGGCCTTAAATTTGGAAACGCTAATTTAAGACTTTTTAAGGACCCGCGGATACCCTGCATTAAAGCAGGGGCGGATTTAGGACTGAAGAAGATCCGGGGCTTAACACACACGCGCGCGCACACACACGCGCGCGCACGCGCACACACGCGCATGCGTGCACACACGTGACACGCACTAGTCAACATCATATATATTTGTCTTGTACCACATAATGTTTAATCTGAAGCTACATATTCAGCATATTCAGGGCAGAGTATTGTTCCTGTTAGTGTTTAGTGTGAGATGATTGTAAATATTCCCTTTCTTTCTCCAACAACTTTACCTGATAGTAAGCTAACTTTAGGCAAACCAGCAGCACAACAAATATTTTCAAATAAGACTCACAAACCTGAGTCAACACCAGTCTCATCAGAGCTGGGGTTCTGTCGTTGTACTTTTGGTCTAAAAAAACGTCCTTATATCCATCTTCACTCATGCGTTTCAGACAGAGACTGCAGAAGCCAGCTGCTGAAGGGCTTCTCTTCAGTCTCAGGTAAACTGTATACTGACTAAGTAGCCTAGTGGTAGAGTGTCTGCCCTGAGATCGGGAGATCAGGGGTTCGACTCCTGGTCGGGTCATACCAAAGATTTTGAGAAAAATGGGACCCAATGCCTCCCTGCTTGACACTCAGCATTGGATTGGGGTTGGATTGGGGGGTTAAACCACAAAATAGTTCCCGAGCGCGGCGTGTCTGCAACTCAGGGGATGGGTCAAAATCGGAGAATAAATTTCACCACACACCTGTGTGTGTGACGACTAAATGGGACTTTACAAACTACTGCCAGCTGCGCCCTCTCTGTGTGACTTTGGTACTGCATGTTACTTCCGCGATTTAGATCCGGGGCTTATCATGAAAGATCCGGGGCTTCAGCCCAAGTAGCCGGGCCTAACGCCGCCCCTGCATTAAAGACAAAGTAAAAAAAGATCTGGGTGCATTCAACATGTTAATAAAACTCCACACACACACACGTGATAAAAGAGGATGATTGAGGAATTCTCTGCAAACATTAAAAAGACGAAACCCCTCTGGTATGTGCTAAGCTCTCTTCACCATTGCATCTTTGTTTTGTAGTTTACCTTTGTGGAGAACGATACAAACAGCAGGCCTTCAATATTATCCAGCTCTGGTTGCATAGCGACAGTCAACGAAGGGCTGGGGGCTACTGTGGGGGAGGAAGCAGCAGCCTTCCACACTCTTGGTACTCTGGGTTGGGGATACATCCCCCAACGCTTCCTGACCTTCCTCTTCTTCCTGCGATAACGAGGTGTTGATACCAAGGACCTGGGCAACTTCTTTAAGCCTCGTTGAGTATGAGGGGTACCACTGATGCTGCTTTCTTCAGGAGGCTGTTCTACGAGCACAAGCTCACCCAGAGCATGTTTGCCTCTCATACAGGAGACATACTGGCCACCAGTACCACAACAGTTAGACATTATAGGTTTCAGCACCAGTTTGGTCTCTTCAACTGGGGAAGGGGCAGAGGCACTTTGCTCCGTTGTGCTAAGAAGAACACAAAAAGTTCATTAGAGAAAGCAAGTGAAAAGTATCAGTTTGATGCATTTGTAAAAGGACATAGCCTTTTGAAATTACATTTTAATCCCAGAGTTATTGAGAGACCTGCTAACAGTAATAGTGAAGTACGCCCTCCGTGGATTCTAGTTTGTTCGTATTGGGTCTTAAAAATTGGTCAAGAAAATCACAGCTGAACAAGAAACAATATATCTCATTGTGTCATTTATCAATAAATGTAAACCTGATGTTGACAAAACATGAAAAACTTAAGAGCGTAAATATTTTCTCTACATCTTTTCAGTTTCACATCATTCTGCCTCCTGTTTCCTGCTCTGCGCCAATCAGAGCGCTCACAGCACGCGCGCGACGCGGCACGCCGCCACGGGCGCTGCCGACAGCAAGAGGCACGAGCCGACACACACACACACACACACACACACACACACACACACACACGCACACACACACACACACACGCACACACACACACACACACTCCTCCCTTCACTGTTGCTGAACATCAGCGTCGCGTGCACCCCGCCACCCCAAATGAGTGGACGTTTTCATCTAGGTTGTAAGTTTGGTTAGAATCTTTGTGGTATGACTGAAATTGAGCGTGAAAAAGTCAAGGAAAAAGTAATCTTTGTGTGGTTTTGCAGAACTTTGGTCCATGGTCCTTGGGCCCAGCTGAAGGCTGACCAAATGTTTGGATCAGAAGTTAGCTAAACTATATGAACATCTAGATTAGGGGTAGACCAATATGTTTAGCTGATGTTTACCATTTGTTAAGTCGACTTACAGTCAAGCACATCCTTGGGCAGCCTGGTGCTGTTGCGGAATTAAATTTGAATAAATACTCTAAATTAACGTTATTTAGCTGTCTGACTTGAACACCAGGGTATCCTAGCCTAGTGAACTAGACCAAATTCTTGCTTTGCAAAGTTTGGTCTAGGAACGAGTCATTGGAACCTCCGCAGCATTCTGGCTGGCCAATCAGGGCCCTCTATTCGTCTGGTGGGCGGGATGATGCAGAGCGAGACAAGATGGCGACAGCTCGTTTGAAACAACTTTTACTTCAATTTTGGACTATTTGGACTTGGGCTTTAGTAGATTCAGAAACAGATAGATGTATTTTATTAATTTATTTAATTTTTCTTTTTTTTTTTTTTGAAAAAAAAAAAAGATGCATTTTCGTCTTCTTCAACAGCGGACCGCCTCGTTTACCAACATCTGTTGCGGTGAGTACGTCACGTTGCTCATTGTCCGGTAGCATGCAGAGGTCGTTTGAAAGACAACGGTAGAACCTGCCCCATGACCGAGATCCATCAATGGAGCTTGCTTGCAGTGATTTATGTACGTACTGCCCCCTATTGCCGAGGAAACTACACACTGTCACTTTAAGCACATAACTCTATAAATGTTCATTCATAGTTTTGATGCCTTCAGTGAGAATCTACCAATATAAATGATCATGAAAATAAAGAAAACACGAGACGGTGTGTCCAAACGTTTGGCCTGTACTGTACGTGTCTCTATAAACTCAGATTAGGTCTGTTAGATACCATCATGAGTTACTTTGACTTCAGTTTCAATAAAAAAAAAGTCATTTTGCATCACTGAATAAATAAGATCGGTGCTTCATTTTTTTCTATTGTTTCTATGTTGATCTCAGTTGTTATGGTTTGTTGCTGCAAAAGACGCACCACCTGAAGACAAATCTATGCAAGCAAGCATTTGAGCTGCAGCAGTACCTTCTACTCTAATGGTAAAAGAGTACTTTCAGTTCCTATTTTAACACAATATTTTCTTTTAGACTGACACAAACTTCTCTGACAAAATAGCACGTTTTTATAAAACTAGAACAAGTTGGAACGTTTTGTGGGAAATCTTCTCACACATTTCTCAAGTTTCTACATTCATATACTTGAAGCTCTGTCAAAAATATACAACATCATGCTTTGAGCCCCAAGAAAAATAGTCTTGACTTGGGTTTGCTAGTTATCGGTAGCGCTAACAACCCCTCCAGATGAAACCCTACTACTCATGCTAATGCTAAACAGGGTGTTTGAATGCAAAACATGGGAGAGGAGTTAGCAGTGAGCAGTTGGAGGTGTTACTGGTTTGTCGTTTTAGAATTAAAATGATGAATTGCATTAGTCCCTGTTTTCTAACCCTAAAATTGGAGGTGTTACTGGTTTGTCGTTTTAGAATTAAAATGATGAATTGCATTAGTCCCTGTTTTCTAACCCTAAAATTGACTGAGAGACAACAAAATTTGATTCTAGCTTACCTCTGATCCATTGTTTCCTCGTTGATCTCACAGGGTTCAGTAGGGACAAAAACCTCAGACTGGGGGTCTGTCTTCACCACAGGAGAGGTAATTCTATTAAGACGGGGGTTGTTCCCATCCTCTCTGAAGCCCTTTGCAAACGGGTTGTGATTAATTTTCAGCTGAGTGATGCGAAAATTTTGATAAGTCGTTACTGCCATGAATTCGGTTTGTGGAAAAGTAAAGGTAATGCTCTCAGTCCCCACGACCACACACCGGTTCAACGAGGACGAGTCCTCCTCTGGAAGTGGAATGACGTGAAGCCTTGGAATGTAGCGATGCATGGAGTACAGCATTACATGGCCGTCTTGGTCTTGGAAGTTGTTGGATAGTTTGAGTTTATAGAAAGACACCAAAGAACTCATCCAATCGGAGCCTCGACAGGATCCGTAGTGGTGGGAAAAGGCACGGATTAAACCTTGGGACTGGTGCTCCGATTTACCACTGATCTCCCATTTGGATGTGCCCCACCGATACTTGAACTGATCTGACGGCACAATGGACAGGACAAGACGGTACCGCCGATCAGGGTCCAGACCAGATAAACGATATCGGCAGTAGGGGAACATACGACGCCCCTGTTTACAGAGAATCATCTCAGTTCCCAGCTGGTGGAACTGCATCCATATCCCATTGTTCTCTAAAGTCACGCCGACACCTTTGAAGGTCAGCGTGGGAGGACAGTGATCGCCCATTTCTGGATTGCCAAAAGTGGTGGGTGGAAATGAAGAGGACCAAGATGGAGCTTCTTGTATGTTGATAATACTCATTTCAGAGCATTTCTGGAGGTCTGACTCAGATATTGTGCGTGATGCATCTGGGCTTTGGTCAGAGGTTTTTACAAATATGGAAGGTGGTGTCTGAGCAGGCTTGGCTGGGCTTGCTTCAGCAGGTGATGAGATATCGTAGCTGCAATCATTACTAGCCATGGAGATGGCTTTACTCTCTAAGATTGAGTCACCAGTAAAGTTGGGACCTAGGCTGCTCATGAAAGATAGGGAAGATGGGGAGGATGGGGGGGCGGTGGTAGAGGGAGCTGTGACAGGGGTGACGGGGAGATTGTCCCTTTCTTCATCCACCACATGGTTGTCCTCCATGGCTGCAAGTTTAGAGTCTGAGGCAGACATCACCATTGACGCTGACCATCACACTGCATCTGGCTCCTAGGAGTAAATCAAATGATAATGTTATTAAAATAGTTTTTTTAGCTGATACTACTTTATCTTTTCTATCTATGCATTGTTATTGCTGACAAAATATTCTAAAAAAAAATGGACATTTTAAGAGGCAATGACTATTGGTGCTCATTCATTTGGAACGAAAATAAATAAATCAGGAATTATTAACCAGCATTAATTCACCCCTTCAAAAAGAAGAGTAGGTAATTACTAAGAAAGACAAAGATCACTTAAAAACTATTTCTGTGAAATCAAAGAACAGCATTACATCGCACAAGTCTCAGGGCGCAAACTGTGTAATATGCACCATTAATGGATGTGCTCATTTTGTCAAATGGAAACTTTTAAATTAAAAGCCAGTCATACACATCGCCCACTGCCTTTCACGACTCATTTTAAAAGAGAAACCATTTGATGTTGAGATATTAAAGTGTTATGGTCATTTTATTCACACATAAGCGGCCTGCATTTGTGTATTAGATAAGCAATAATGTTGTATGTAACCTCAGATTATACCAATGAGTATGTGAAGTGAAGAGCATGACTCAGCAAATTAATACTTTAAATGTGAGTTTTAGCCATTTTTGTGTATACCACTATCAATTATGTATAGCAGCCGTCTTCAATTGAGTTGACCAAAATGTATCGGCTGTGGATGTACATTAAATGAAGACCTTATATGTGTTTGATTAAACCATCCAATGGTTCATCTGATATTTTGCTAACAGACTGACACTTAGCATACTGCTAGCAACACCGCATTCAGTTAAGAAAGGTTCAATGATCTTTTTGGCCAGGATTAATAGATAAATTGGACATAAATAAAGGTTTGGTGGTAATTTACTAAAATGATCTTGACATATAAAATATTTCTGTTAATACCCATTAGATAAAAGTGCATGTATTAATTTACCTTGAATGTGTTTTCTATTTTGTTTGTGTAATTTTAAACGTGTTATAATATGTACAAGGATGTCTTGTACACAATCTGAATTTATTTGTTTGTATCCTTAACATTTAGATTTTGTCTTTTTTAAATAATGCTTTATAATCTAAATGACCTCAAATGTTTCCAAAACTAAGGGAAATTAACCTTAAAGACCTTCTTACTATTTCTTCTAATATTCACATCCATCAACTGCGACCTGTGTGTTTGCACGTCCAGTACTATGGTGTTGATATGGTTGTTATTATTGTAACACAGCATCTTTGACCACTATACTTTAATGAGTATGTTGATGATTAACTCATTCACTGCCATTGATGACTAAAGTGGTCATTTTAAATCCAACCGTTCACTGCCAATTTGCATTTTTTTTTTACTGTGTGGGCATCGGAACGAGCCCCGGCACTGTGAGAAAAAACACCCCAGCACTAAAGCCGATCTTCATTCGCATACGTCACACGTCACGTGATCAGGAGGCAGAAAATCCATGTGTTTGGAGATTGTTTTGGGCTGCTGCTGTAAAAAAAAAAGTGAGGCGTGAACCAGAAAAGCTTCTGCTGATCACAATTCAACAACGGATTATGAACGAATGGATAAAGCTCGAAACGTGCGGATTCTTCCTGATGTAAGAGGTGAGTCTCTGCTTTGTTTTGGTTGTTTTGGCGTCGACATCATCCTAGCGTGCAACATTCTGTGACTCTTAAAAACAGTTAAAACGGTGTGAAACGCTGGCAGCGAAGGGCTTTACCGATCAGGAAACGGCTGGCAGCAAATGAGTTAAGTGGAGCTTGTTGTGTATTATGGGGATGACTGTCAACTATAACTACACTTAATTAATTTTAGCCCAAGTATCTATAAAACAGACTGAATCATGGCTATTACTGTTTTCTATGGTCTTTCAGCTGTAACGGCCATTTTTATTTGACACTCATTCCAAACCCTAATGAGTTTTACATCAAATGGTTATACTGAGACTTGTCCATTCAGGGATTCATCAGCTATTTAGCAAACAGAAAAAAAAAGACTGGGTTTCCACAATGTTTTAAACACTGACCTAATACCAGTTTTTCAAACACATGGTAAACAGCACTTGGGTTGGGACAATGTGATCTGGGTGATTTGATCTATTATAGGCTGGTAAAATGCCAAAATGACCGTAATATCTGGGAAACTGAACCAAAAAGTTAACCCCTTAACGCCTGATGTCGTTTTAAATCATAAAAATTTTATTCACTTGTAGATTTTCTTAAGGGTACATGCAGTATTTTGGTTGCCTTTGGTGAGAATGCAGGTTTGCGACAACCAGCGTTAAGGGGTTAAGCAAGGAACTATGTACGTCCAATAATATCAATTTAGTGGTCCATGATGAACCCGTCCATCTGCTTATCTGCAGTCGGGTCGCGAGGGCAGCAGCCTAGGCCCAGACTTCCCTCTCCCCAGCCACTTAGGGCCAGCTTCTCCGGGGGAATCTCAAGGAGTTTCCTGGCCAGCCAAGAAACAGTCCTTCCAGAGTGTTCTGGGTTTTCCTTTAGCCTCCTAGTTGGACGTGCCCGGAAAATCTCACCAGGGAGGCGTCCAGAAGGCATCCTAACCAGATTCCCGAGCCGCCTCAACTGGCTCCTCTCTATGTGGAGGAGCAGTGAATTTACTCAAGCCCCTCCCAGATGACCAAGCTACTCACTCTCTAAAGGGAGAGCCCGGCCACCCTGCGGAGAAAACTCATTTTGGCCGCTTTGATCAGTTATCTCATTCTTTCGGTCACTACCCAAAACTCGTGACCATAGACGAGGGCAAGAACATAGACCGACCGGTAAATCGAGAGCTCTGTCTTCCGGCTCAGCTCTCTCTTCACCACGACAGACTGGTACAACGCCCAGCACCAATCCTCCAATCAATCTTGCGCTCCATCTTTCCCTCACTCATGAACAAGACCTGGAGATATGTAAACTCCTCCCCCCTAAGGGCACGACCTCATCCCGGACCTGGAGAAGATCTTCTATCCTTTTGCAGCTCTAGACCATGGTCTCGGATTTAGAGGAGCCATGAAAAACTTTGCTTTCAAACATGTTGACAGCCTAAGACAATAATCATCTGCTTTGGCTAATAACAAGATCAGTATTTTGAAACAAATCTAAAGCATGTCACACCTTCATAAACTAAATAATTTATCACCACAATGAATTTAATGTAGAAGCATATTCTATGACAATGATCTATCCCCATTACCTGTAGGTTGTATATTTTGACAATGACTACAATAGTTGTTATAACCCCATTTTAAACAAATGTTAAATAAAAATGGTTTTGCCAGTTACAGACGTCATCCTCCTACCATCTGACATCAACGCCAGATACATTAAAATAATAAAACACGTGTAAGTGTTTTTAGTTTAGTTTAATAATTAGTATTTACGTAGACGGTGAGAATAGTGGACTTTGAATTGGATTAGAACTGACCAATCGGCTGCCTGGTGTCACCCAGCTCGAGCCATGGCTGAAACACGGGCCTGTTTTATTGTTTGTTTGTTTGTTTTGTTTAGAATATTATACTGTATGGATACAATCACCTTCATGGACGGATCAACCATCCTGAAACACTACCTGTTTTGTTGTTAGCCTGGCCCCGTCACCTTGGTGTAACAATCACACCACCACGCTGCACAAGAAAAGGTGTTGGGAAACCAAACGAGTGCGTCTCGTGAGGTTTGCAGCGTTTTTTCACGATATCTATCAACATCATTTTTTTTCCTCACTCAAAACTAAGCTTTAAATTTCTGTTACAGCAGCTCTTTCTTCCTCTCTCTCTCTCTCTCTCACAGACACACACTCACACACACCGCGGGGAGGAAGGCCGCCTGCTCCGCTCCGCTCGCGTTGCAAGTTGGAAAAGTTGCACGTTTCACCCAAAGCCTCACCTTTTAAAGTCAGCGGAACGCAGCGTCGGCCGGCGGGCTCGGCGACCGCGGCGAAACTCCAACTGTTGCACGCTGCTTCCGTGTGAGCTGCCGGTGAAATCCTCGAACATAAACACAAACTGGCAAATGGAGGCCGAGAGCCACGCCGCTGAGCCTTGCATCGACCGACCTGTGAGCCAAAAGCGCATGCACAGTTTCACCCCCTCCAATGGCGCGTGATTCCCGACCCGCCAGCAGCGCGAGGGAAGCGGGAGTGCTCACCAACATCCACCAGAATTTTATTTTTCCCCGGCGTGTTCCCACCTCGCGCTCTGTCTGTCTGTCCACGCGCCGGTGAAACTACATAAGAGTAATTACCAGAGTTTGATAAAAGGTGTCTGTCTTCCTTATTCACTTCTTCAATCCTGGCTCATCTCTGTTCTCTCTCTCTCTCTCTCTCTCTCTCTCTCTCTCTCTCTCTCTCTCTCTCTCTCTCTCTCTCTCTCTCTCTCTCTCTCTCTCTCTCTCTCTCTCTCTCTCTCTCTCTCTCTCTCTCTCTCTCTCTCTCTCTCTCTCTCTCTCTCTCTCTCTCTCTCTCTCTCTCTCTCTCTCTCTCTCTCTCTCTCTCTCACACACACACACACACACACAAACACACGCACACTGGTCTCGGGTTGTGACGTAACACTATGGCGGTAGAGCTTCAGTGGCTAATGTGCTGGCTGTCCTTTGGACAACTCAACTGATCAAGAGTCTAAAATAAAATGAAAAAATAACGTGATCATAAAGCCGCGTTAATCTTCGTCCTGTTTATTTTGTAAACAAAACCCTCCGGTTGCACTTACAACCATTAAATAACCAGCTTTTAAAAGTAAGACTCGTCTAGGATACAAATGCTGATTGGCTACTGCTTAAGCAAGATGGCGGCGTAGCAGTATAAAGAAAAAATACGTAAACTCTACGTTTTTTAATTATTCATTATGGTTGCCACTTTTTTTAGTAATCCTAGTGGGTTTTGGTTATTTTTAGCACACGTTGTTTTTGATAGAAAAATAGATTAAACACTGGAGGATTAGAGAAATCCTGTAAAATAAGAATGGAGCATGTGCTTGGTGAACCTATGAAACCAACTCTACAGCTTGTGCATTTTTGTGCGTGCCAAGGCTGCTCCCCCTCACACACCTTTTATAATAATTTGTAGTACGTAACTCTAAGGTGCACATGGCAGGATAACAAACACTAACTTTGGTTAATGAACTTCGAAGAGCCTGTACTTCCTGTTCCCTTCACAGTGATGTCAACATGGACAGTAGTGGTAGGCTAGGTGAATCGATCCAAATATTGATGTTATCGATACCAAGTCGGCATCTTTACTTGATCAATACTAGCCTAGCAAGATCGATTCCTTAATTTAAGTCCCACTCTGGTTTGAAATGCTGTGGTTTTGGCAAAAAGGAAACGACAAAGTTGCCGGACTTGCTGCCAGGGCCGCCTCCAGAAAAATTTGATAGAAGTGGCCAGATGGGGCCAATTAAATTTTTGGGGTGGCACACCAAATTGGTCCTTGTGGTAACTCTGGTTGAATTTAGTCTGTGGCGATGTACTGCATTGCAACTTTATTTGTATTTATTAAAATAACCGTACGTATCCAAAACATTTAACTAAAATTTTACAAACACAAACATTTTAGAAAAATACATGTCAGTTATTTAAAATGTTATCCCAACTTTTATTTAAACGTGTGTTTTTTTGTTAATTCACATATTTTGCTATGTTCACAAAAAACTTCAGATAAAAACATTTTTTTAAATGGTGAACAGCAGAAACACGTGTATTTTTTTATTATGATTATTTATTTACTCATTAATTGTAATATTTTTATTTTGTTTTACAATTATGTCTTGAATAAACAAGATCAATATATGGTATGACTGAACATTAATATGATTTGTTAACACTGCCTTTTCCCCCTTGGGGGGGGGGGGGGGGGGGGCAGCAATTTTCTAGGCCACCCCTTGGGGGCGCCTTTGCTCGCTGCTCCTGTGTCAGCTCAGCGCAAGCACACTTTTCTCCCCTCCCATCCCTTAAGTTTAGATGTGGCACTGTCACATCATGAGTCACGTGACTCAGACCAGCAAAGCATACCATAGTGATCATATATACACAGAGGCGACATTGGGGACTGTAGAGCTTAACCGCTTCGCCGCCAAATTGGATGGGTCCCTCATTCTTCGAAGCTCGAAAGTCAAAAGAACGCGTTCATAAACCCATTCACGTACGCCAGAACAAATGCACTCACTTTCACTTTCGTCAGGCAAAATACAAAAGAGTTCAGTTCACGTTCGCGAAAGAAATGAACGAGTTCTCGAACGATCGTTCCGTGAATGCGTTCGGGCACAACACTGAAAGGTGCAGTATGTAAGAATAGTGAGAATTTTACAGTGAGAAAATCCCAAGAGTCTAATGTTTCAGTCATTTAGGAAGGAAGGCTCTACTGAAACATTTCAAATCCAGCTGGCTGCGGGGGATTGTCAGTTTTTCTCCTTTCAAAACAAAGTAACTACTGTTTACCATCAGTGAGTGCGGGGTTTCCGCATCTCCTGCAGCGCAGACAATTGTAATTTGATGATGACCAGCAAAAAGCTCCACAGTTGTTTAAAGTGGTTGCAGTAACCAAATTTTGCCACAGGAGGCCATTTTTACTTCATTTCTACACAATGCACCTTTACGTGACAGTGTGATGTAGATCTGTCAGGCTTTTCATATCCTAGAGTTTCACCTCCTATTTTCTATCAGAATTTAATTCAGCAGATAGGTGTAGGAGACTATTTTCATGTTCAGCCTGCAATAAAAAAACTCAGAGTGGCTGATTATCAGGGTATCCGCGTGTCCTTAACTCATTCACTGCCAATGACGACTAAAGTCATTTGCATTTTTTTACTGTTTGAGCATCGGAACGAGCCCCCGCGCTGAGAGAACAAACATCTCAGCCCTGAAGCCGATCTTCATCCGCATACGTCACAGATCACATGATCAGGAAGCAACACATCATGTGTTTGGAGATCGTTTTGGGCCGTTCCTGTAAAAAAAAAGTGAGGCGCGAACCGGAAAAGCGTCTGCCGATCACAATTCGACAACGGATTATGAAAGAACGGATAATGCTCGAAACACGCGGACTCTTCCTGATGTAAGAGGTGAGTCTCCTTTTTGTTTTGGTTGTTTTGGCATCGACATCATGCTAGCGCGCAACATTCTGTGACTCTTAAAAAACAGTAAAAACGGAGAGAAACGCTGGCAGTGAAGGCCGTTAGCGATCAGGAAACGGCTGGCAGTGAATGAGTTAAAAAGTCTTAAATTTGCTTTTCCAAATTTAAGGCCCTAAAAATCCTTCAAAATGACAAATAATCCTTAAATACAGTTTCCAAAGGTCTTAAATTACCAAAGACCCAATAAACAAGATTCTTTTATTACTATAAAACTTTCGTGAATTTCTAGTTAGTATTCAGCATTTTTTGTGCATGATGTTGGCGTAAGCGGAACCGTACACATTCAGTTGGTTGTGAAAGGGGGCTATTTTTAGATGAGCACATTAGCTGGTTAAGCTAGTGGGAGCTTGCACCATGGGGAAGTGCAAGTTTAATGGTAACTGGATGGCTAATCCCACGTTCACGATGTGGTTAGTACCGGTTCCAGGCAATAGCTGGAAATTATAGCTTAAATTTAATTTTTAAAAATAGCTTCAATTTTTGTCAGTGTCCTTAAAAAAGGTCTTAAAAAGTCTTAAATTTGGATCCCTTAAACCTGCAGATACCCTGAATTATTGTCAGAAATAAGATTTAGAAGGTGGTTTTCCAGTGTTCCACACCTTTAAGCCAATTTATCATCTTCAACCAGTCTGATTATTCTCTGACATCATCAAGACATTTTCATCCACATAACTGCAGCTTACTGGATATTTTCTTTTTTCCAGACCATTCTCTGTAAACCCTTTGCTTATGTGTGAAAATCTCAGTAGATCACCAGGTGCTGAAATACTACCACCATGGGATTGGCTGATTACCTGTTTTCGAAAGTGGCCAAGGTGTGTAGTTTGATGTGAAACAACAAAAACAGAGGGTGGGTTTGAGTTTGACCACATTCACTAAAGATGATAAGCAATGCTTTTGTTTTTTATTCAAAATATTTAGACCATTTACAACTATTTTGTGCATTAGACACCTCTTTCCACAAAAGTCTGGTTTATAAAGAAAGAATGTGCACACTCTCTTACCTCGAAGAGGGTTTTGTTGAGGCTGGTTGAGTACGACTTGATGAACTCACTCAGCTTATATTTTTTCCACATGAGAATCTCACGGTCTTTGTTAAACCCTGTGCAATTATTAGGCTTTTTTTTAGACTTGAAATGGATTGAGTGTATCCTCCACTCCTCCAAAGCTGAGAATTTCATATTAGGATGGTGCACAGTCAGCAGAAACAGCAAAGACTCCCATCATCTCTTCACTTAAAAATTGCCATCCCCTCAGATTTCACAGCAAGCATAAAGAACACCTCTCAGATCATTTGTTTCACACTAAACATTTAATGTGGAGTCTAAATATTTGCTAAAGGAAACGTGGTCATAAAACATTGCAGACACTGCAGTACGTAAGTGGGATGTGTTTAAAATAAGAAACTGCCACGTTTTTATTATTAAAATTTTTCAACAGTATAAGCTTCTTTTGGGGCGGCGCAGTGGTTAGAGCTGTTGCCTTGCAGCGAGAAGGTCCTGGGTTCGATTCCCGGCCTGGGATCTTTCTGCATGGAGTTTGCATGTTCTCCCTGTGCATGCGTGGGTTCTCTCTGGGTACTCCGGCTTCCGCCCACCATCCAAAAACATGACTGTTAGGTTGATTGGTCTGTCTAAATTGTCCTTAAATGTGAGTGTGTGTGCATGGTTGTTTGTCCTGTGTGTCTCTGTGTTGCCCTGCGATGGACTGGCTCTCTGTCCAGGGTGTACCCCGCCTACTTGCCCGTCAACTGCTGGAGACAGGCACCAGCCCCCCTCCCCCGCAACCCCGCGTGGACAAGCGGTTTCAGAAAATGGATGGATGGTTGGATATAAGCTTCTTTTCTCAGCACACTGAACACTGATGTAAATTGGTGAAAATCCTTCAACCTATTTTAAGTTAGGCACCAGCTATGTACTGTTTTTCCATTGACCAGTGGGGGAGTTAATGGCTAATGAATACAGAACATATTTTAATTTACACATGATTCTGGTGTAATTACTACACTCTGTATTTTTATTACTGATAGTTAGAGTACATTTTCAGAATAAAACACCCTGCAAACCAATGTTCATTTAAAAACAAGTTCTTTTTTCCATGCAGCAGTCTGGAAGCCTGCACCAAAAATCTGCCTTTTAATTCATCCATTGTTGTTAAAATGCCACAGCACACAGGACTGCCCAGATAACGATAAATTAATAAAAACAAACACGACTTGGAACAGCTTAATGTCCAAAACATCTTAATGCAACCGAACTTTTATTTGCTAATTCTGGCTGATTATCATCAAACCTATGGAGAAAAAACGTACAATTTACTTTTATATACAAATGCAAAAAGTCTTTATTATCTAATATCAGCATATTAAATACAGTACTAATGTGGAAATGCCAGGAGGCAGCAGTAGCTCAGCAGGTTGCGGCTTGTCCAGTACTTGGAAGGTTGTAGGTTTGATCCTGGCTCCCACCAGAGAATGATGCTGTTGTGTCCTTGGGCAAGACACTTTTTCTGCCTTGCCTGGTGCTGGTGGTCGGAGGCACCGGTGGCGCCTGTGCTCGGCAGCCTCGCCTCTGTCAGTGCGCCCCAGGGCAGCTGTGGCTATATTGTAGCTCATCATCACCAAAGTGTGAATGTGTGTGTGACTGTTGTGAAGCGCCTTGGGGGGTTGTAGAACCCTAAGAAGGTGCTACACAAATAAATCCATTTACTATTTAAACAACCTAGAAGTTGTAAATAAACCAACTTTGACTTTAATGTATGAAGTAAGCATGTCATTCAGTCCGTCTGTGTGCTTTAACTTGAAAATCTGTTCAGAGAATAATATCTTTTGTATAAAACAAGGTGCAAGGAGCATAACTGCTTCTTTTTTTTACTACAAAATAAAAATCTATTAATCTGTGAAAGTAAAAGTCTCAAGTGTGTGGAAATGCATTACAAGAAACAAGACTGTGTGAATTGGCAGTTTTTCCATTAATACAAAAATATTATAAACTCACTAAATTATTCTAATAGGGAAAAAAAATCTCATCCTGAATTTTAACTAATTAATTTAGTTTAAAATAATATTTAAATTTGTGAAAGAAAGAAAAATGAGTTGCAAAAACATCCCTGTTTCTTCCAGGGATAAGGGCTGGACTAGAGTTTTAAAAATAGGTCTTTAAAGTGTTGAACAGAGAATAGATTATTCCCGATCCCATACACATACGGACTTATGGACGAGTAGGAAGTTGAGATGAAAAACTCGATTTCCATCCAAGAATCAAAGTCATTTAAAGTCCAAAGGAGGATCAGGTAGAGGGTCCAGTCCACCTGGAACAGCCACATTGCTGCCACCACAGCGACCGTGCTCCGGTGGAGACTGTGACCATGACTCTGGCTGTGATGGTTCGGACAGGTGACATCATCCAGTGCTGCCACCATCTTCTCCTGGTTCAGAAGCACCACGATGATGAGGCAGCCACTGACCGTGACGATGATAATGGGCAGCAGGTAGCATATCGGCATGAACAAGTATTTGTAAACTCGGTAGAGTGTAGGGCAGTAGTCTTTAGCACATTCCAGGAAGTCCTGAGAGCAGCCGTTACTGCTGTCTGTGATGTTTTCCAAGGAGCCTTGAAGGGTGATGGCATAAATAGGGAGGCTGATTACCACTGAGAACATTACACAAGCTCCACTCAGCATCCAGGCATATCTAATACCGTCCAGGCAGATGGGAAAGTTGGCTCTTTTAGCGTCTCTCAGTTTCTGGTAGCGATAGACGCTGATGACAACGGTGAAGAGGATGCTGGCCATTTCGCCACAAACAGTCAGAAACTTCAACGTGCGACACCACAAAGCGCTGGTGGTGGCGGCGGAAGTCTGAACGATGGTAACGTAAACGTTTAGGATGACTATTTCCTCTAAGTTTGCTGCAGCGAGTCCCAGGAGAAACAACTCAAAGGATTTAACGTGGGAGGACTTGGTCTGGATGATGAAAAGGATGAGACATACGTTCCCCACTAATCCTACGGAGGAGACGAATACTCTCAGGATCAGGAGGTTGACGGAAAACATTCTTCAAAAGTAGCTGGACGGAACGAAACGGGTCACCTCTGTGTTCTTCTCGAAGGCTGAGAGAGCAAAATGGCTCCCCGAACATGCAGCTTCGTCGTCAGGTTCTCAGAAAGGGCAAGAACCGAGATCAGCGATTGGTTGTGCTGATTATGAAGCAGAAGTACAAGAAGGGACTGGAAACACTGAAGGCTGGGAGTAATTAATGTTTTACCTCTGAGCTTTTCAAAGCTTCATCAGGAGACCTGCTGCTGAATTTCAGCAGAGACCTGTGCCTGTTCCTCTCCTTTTACATTTGCTCCTGTGTGATATTCTCTAATGCATATTTGATACTTTATTATTGGAGCTAATGCTTCGTTCTCCAAACACACTTCCTGTTTCAGGGTATAAGTGCACAATCAACACAGGATGCACATCCCTGTGGAAATATTCAGTCAAGGCAAATCATTACCTTTGCTTTAGCTGAACATCTGACTTCAATGGGAATAAGTTAAGCGTGTTAATTTTGACGTAAATACAAATAAAACAACGATAGCAAAGCTGCAGCTCACGTTCGCTCAGTGAACCAACAGAGGAAAGGCAGTAATGGGGCAGGGGCTTCTGGACCCTGTGGCTGGCACAGGACCAGGTCATGTTCCAGCTTGTCTCTTTTTGTGCTTATTGCTGTCGAGTTGGAAGTCGTTTTCCTTAACTAAGCCCTGCATCCTGATTCAGCTTAATTGTAAATCCCACAGTGTGCAAGTAACTAAGGATAAGCCCAGCACTGGCAGTGAGTGGGTGAACAAAGTGTTGCGTAATGACCTTGAACAGCGTAGGACGTAGTGGTTCTTTATCAGAAATCATAAAACATGGACGTTCCATTGTTTACAAAAACGTCAGCCTAACTATTTTGTTGACACATAGAAAGATCTTTTTTATTGGCTTGGACCAAACCTAAAAGCTACATTTGTGGTCTTTGGGTAATTTCTTTTTCATTTTTTACACTGAATTTTATGTGAGAGGGTAAAAAAGACGAACAATATATAATTTAGAGCAGACGATCTCAACAGTAACGCAGCGACAAAAAAAAAAAGATTTTCAAAAGTGGCACTGCTAAAAACAACATTGTTAGCTTTAGCTCTGAGGAAGCTAACAATACGGCAGGAGCCGTGGACGTAGTTGTAGGGGAGGCATGCCCCCTCCCCACACACACACACACACACTTTTTTCAAAGTAAATTTTTGTCCCCTGCATTGTTTACCATCCGAAAACAATGCTACACTTTATTAAATAGACACTGGTGCGCACTAGGACAGAGTGGAAAACAACTGCCTGTTTCCCATGAGAACCGTCCATAAGCTCATCTGACTCTGCTGATACTTGCCGACGTGTGATTGGCCGTTCCTGCCACCTGTGTACAGTTCTGCGTTTCTGACATAGCATAAAAGAACCTCTAGGCTGTAGTTTTATACGTATCTTTTGCATACTTACTGTAAAGACTCCCCTCCACCCCGGTTGTGTCCCCTTCACTTCTAAAGTCAAGCTACGTCCATGGCAGGAGCCAAATCTTTGATTCTTATTCCAGTTTGCAGACGAGCTTTAGAATACTTACACAGCTAGTTTGAAACTCCTGCAAAACAATTTTCGTTAGGCAGTGATTTGTGGAAGCAGTAGCCCAGGGAGTGAAGCAGGTTGGCGGACGGTTGTAGGATCTATTGTGTCCTTGGGCGAGACAGTTAACCCACCTTGCCTGCTGGTGGTGGTTGAAGGGACCGGTGGCGCCTGTGCTCGGCAGTCTCGCTTCTGTCAGTATGCTCCAGGGCAGATGTGGCTACATTGTCGCTCATCATCACCAGCGAATGTGTGTGTGCGAATGGGTGAATGACTGATTCTGCTGTGAAGTGCCTTGGGGAATCGTAGAGCCCTAGAAGGCGCTGTACAAATACAGACCATTTATGTTTTGGCAGGTATATATTTCACTTAACATGTATCAGTTGTTGTATTGCCAAGGACGTCGCTATAGTCCTGACAACTAGTTACCACTATAAAGTTTTTCCAGTAATGAGTGATATGCTGCCAGATGCTACAGTAGTAAGCCTGAAATAAGTATCAGCACACGTGTGGAATATGCAGTATGGGTGGCTAATTTCTACTTGATGCTATATAGATTGGGATTTTGTTTACGTACATTTTCATAGTCTGCTAAAATACATGCAACACTTTTTTCTTAACCACCAAAGTTGCATGACGTAAACATTTTTAGGATCTGCTGCATATTTTAGTTCTGATCCTAAGCTGCAGTGCTGTATAAAATATAATTAAAATGCTAATCTGCAGGACCTGCAGCAATCAAAATACTTGGCTTTCCAGTTTGCTAATGTACAAGCAATAAATGATTGGTGAAAGAATTACATTTAATTACCAGTTAATGGAAATTAAAGATGTGTTTGACTTTTGTGGTGAACTCTTAGCTATTTAAAAGGGATTATTACTGCAGTTAATTAGGACTGTGCTACAGAGAACGCAGACAAATGTTGAAATATGTAATTGATTTGTAGTTTTACAAGGGGGGGGGGGACTTTTTACTGCCACATTTACCGACTCTTCCATGAACTTCACCCTTTTATGGTCACTTCGACTACTCAGAAGCTGTTCCCTTTAATATGTGTTTGATAGTAAAGTTGCACTTAAGTTACCACATTGGACTTTAGTGCGCCATCCACTGGAAGTATGTGGAATGGCAACAATTATGACAGAGTAATGATTTTTATTTGTTTGTCAAAGTCAAAATGCACATTTCCCGACTGAATTAGGAACAAAAATAATGACTGGTTTTGTCATACTTAATTTTAAAAATGACTTAATTTTTACAGAAGCCTGTTGAATGTGGAAACTTCAGACCAGGAATAAAGCAATTTAAGCATTTTAAGCATCATCTGACAAATACATATGTGGGGCAACTGAGGACAAAACAAAAATGATGATGCAAATGAGCAAGACTAACCTCCCTAAGAGAGAATTGTATTATCATGTCCAGTTTCAGACATTAAAGGTGACATTTAAATTACATTTTCAACAACAGAGCCAGAGGAGGGATGATAATCTTTGAGGTGTCTACTTTGCTGAAAATGCTATTTTCTTTTCAAGCTGTATGAATGTCCTCCCTCTCTCCTCATGAACTTAGGCCCTCTTTAAACAAACCGATAATGAATCCATTCATGTAAACAGGCTAGCTTTAGCAGACGGAGCTAGGAATTAAAGCTGTTATAGTGAACCTACAGAAGAAGACAGGTGTTGAACACAAACGCGGTCACGAAACATTCAGGCAGTGATTTATGGAAGCAGTAGCCCAGGAAGTGAAGCAGGGTGTCCAGTTATCGGACGGTTGTAGGATCGATTGATCGTGTCCTTGGGCAAGACAGTTAACCCACCTTGCCTGCTGGTGGTATTCGGAGGGAGCGGTGGCGCCTGTGTATGGCATACTCGCCTCTGTCAGTGTGCCCCAGTGTAGATGTGACTACAATGTAGCTCATCACCACCAGTGTGTGAATGGGTGAATGACTGACTGTGTTGTAAAGTGTCTTGGGGGGTCCCAGGACTCTAGAAGGCACTATATCAAATACAGGCCATTTACCATTTATTTACCATTTCACTTCGCCCGGTATCTTCCCTGGACCCACTTCCTCTGGAACCAGAAAACCGCATTGCCAGAGCACCTGACACAGCGCTAAACACCAGTCCAACCCTAGTGCCGACGCTTAATGACGTTGTGTGTCTTCGCATTAACCCTTTGATGCATAATGGTCGCTACAGTGGACAGGTACTCAAAATTGTTTTTTTTTTTTTTTTTTTGCTTTTAAGCACAGCTGTTGAAGACTCTATTGCATTTGAGCCCCTCTGTTTGGACTTCGGTAAGTCAAGTCAACATATTTCATGTTCAGAATGCACACTGTCCAACGAGGTGGACGTGATACATGTTACAAAATATTTGTTGAAATTTCTTTCATTCACATCTAAAGATGAATGAAAAAATTGTTTAAACAATCATAATTTCATAGTTCATGCATCAAAGGGTTAATGCAGACGGAGTAGTATAACCCAGGCTTCAGTCCTTTAACACCTTAATCTAACACCTGAAAAGTCTCTCAAGCCTTCAATAGTGTCCACAGGAGCGATTCATCACTGAATCAAACAAATCAGCTGTGTTCATGATCCAAAATATGCAGGACAGGTGCTGGAAGCAGACTCCAGTGCATGTCAGCTCCACTCTACTACGGCCCAAACCCAATACGCGCCCTACGGTCTTCAGTGAAGTGCAATTGGAGGAAGTGCCCAGTAAGGCTTTGAGTATGTAGTACACAAGTGTGCAAATAATTGCAGAATTGGAACAGGGAGCATGCCAGAATGCGGGTCCTGTTTGTGCTACTTTAAAGAAAAAACTTTATTAACAACATTCAAACAACCAAACAATTATTTGACAACATTTACATTCATTGCTATCCTAAAATGAACTACTTGAGGTTTGAAAATAGTATTTTCAAAAATGGCACTAGAGCCTTTGCTCCACCCACGCAGCAATGGATTGTGGGTCAAGGGTGCAAAAGGGGCGTGGTGAACTTCCACGCTTGACAATCGGGACTTCTTACACACTCGCATCCTTGGACGGGATCACCATTTAAGGGTGGAAGTGGGAGTATTGGGATTGAGCCTTACCCCTACTGCACACTGGAAGCAAAAGTGCCGCGGAACGGCAGCGGAAAGGTTTTCTTGCAACAATCACAGCACTCAAGTGCATACCGGGAGAGTCTCAGCAGCGAAGCGGCTTCTCTCCCGTGCTGCTTGCTTGAATCGCGAGATCACAATATCCCTTGAGACATTCGCCAACGACCTTGAGAGATCACACGATCCCTCAAAACTTCAAAGGTTACGATTTGTTTATGCTGTTCGCCATTGAACCAAAAAGAAGGAAATCATGTTGTTATTGCTGTTTGATGTCACACAGGCTGTTGTTCCTCTTCACTGCC